AGAAATGCGCCCATACACACTTCTGGTTTAAAAATAAAATTACTCAGAATATTTAAATACCTTGGAATTATTTAAATTTACACATGTCAGAAACAATTTATTTATTAATAATCAATTAATAAATTCAGATTAGGCACACTAATAATCTCAATTACCTTAATTAATCTCAATTAATTCTTCAGGGTGTTACACCTTTATATGGCCATTGATATATATATATATATATAGATATATTTATATATATATATTTTTTGATGATTGGGACCTCTAAGAAATATTTGTGTTAGTTCAATTATTATACTTATTCCTCTACAAGGTGTTAAATTGATTAGGTATTATAATATTTGTGATTGCTTTATGAGAAATGTTGTCGTATCAATATTCTGAGAATGTAAATAGTTTTAGTTTTGATAAATGTTAGAACTTAATTAAAATACCTTATTAATTAAATTTATAATGGGCTGGACTGTATAGTAGACGTCTAATAACAAAACTCTTTATTGTTCGATAGAGTATCTCGATTAGTCAATAGAGTAGATTTTCACTTGCTTTGTTTTTTAGTTGAAAGACTTGGTTAAATTTAATTTTTCTTAGATAATATTGCTAATTAATTGGTTGTATATATTATTCGCATCACATATATGAAATTAGGTTAAAAAACCAACTTAATAGAACTACTACTTAAGGAGTTCATTATTTATGCTCAATTTAGTAAGTTATGTTAATCAAAGTTCTCCAACATCAACGACAAAGGTGGCAATTTGAAATTCTTAGTAAACTAAGTAAATAATTACTTATTTTAAATTTAAGCCCTAGTAATTAAGATACAAAACATTTTTTAATTGACGTGAACCCCTTAAGACTGGCCTAAAAGATAATGAAATTAAAACGCCCAAAAAGCTAAAAATTAAAATTCTTAAGATGAAATTTGAGACAAACACCTCAACCCGATGGCTATAGAGAGTCAAGAACCTTAGTACAATTTGACACAAAAGAAACCTCAACCCACTGATTATCAGAATCAGGAACCGAAGGTAAAAGTTTGAACGCCACGAGGTGACAATCTTGATAAGTTCAGAAGTTCGATAAAGAACCAAGAGAAAGCAAATGCTCACAATATTCTGAAATTCAATTTCAATAATCTGCATTTTCATTACAAAATTCGTCCATATATATAGACTGTAACAAAACACATAAATTCCCAAGGCATTTAATTCTTAGTTGCCTAAAACAAAGAAAAGGAAATTAACCTAAAATTCTAGCCTTAAAAAACGCCTATTAGAAACTTGGAAAGTTAAAAAAGTTGAAAATAGAAACTACTTTTTTCCGAAAATTGACAAGTCATAACACCTAAACTAAGAATTCAATTTTAGAACCTAATGGTCTGAAAATCACTAAGTCACTTGATCTTTTACCACGCCATTTGAAGGAAATCAGAAATAGAAACTTCCAAGTCTGAAATTGACTAGTCAAATTTCTCAATCATGTTCTGAATTTGTGCCAAGAATAATCCCATTTTGGAAGGTAACTTTCTTCCACGCCCATTACAAGAAATCAGCCACATTAATTGCTTAAATCAAGTCGACTAATTTCTGGTCTTTTCTTGGCTTCACCTTGGCATGGACGTTTTTAGTATCAACCCATATGTCATGAATCAGCAGCCCATTGAATGCTTCTTTAATCTTCTTGGCCTGTGCCCTTGTAATTGGTCCAACTAGAACTTGCAACAGATCCTTCGACGCTCCATGATTCTCATCATTTTCCCTCCCTTCAAAAGGATTCGACCTCGAATCGTCACCTACATCAAAAGGAGAAAAATCAGAAACATTAAATGTAGCACTTACATTGTACTCACCTGGAAGATCTAACTTGTATGCATTATCATTGATCCGCTCGAGGACTTAAAATGGATTATCTCCACTTGGTTGCAATTTGGACCTCCTTCGGGCCAGGAATCTCTTTCTCATATGCACCCAAACCCAATCTCCCGGTTCAAAGATGACTTGTTTTCGTTGGCTTTGGTTGCATATTGCTCATTTTTCCACTCAATGTGTTGCCGAACACTTTCATGGAGCTTCTTCACCATTTTTGCTTTCTTTTTGCCATCCATACTAGCTCTCTCATTAACTGGCAAAGGCAGCAAATCCATAAGAATTAGTGGATTAAAACCATAAACAATCTCAAATGGTGAAAAACTAGTAGTAGAATGAACACTCCAGTTATAACCAAATTCAATGAACAGCAAACATTCTTCCCAATTCTTTAAGTTCTTTTGGATGACAGTATGCAATAAAGTAGATAAATTTCTATTTACTACCTCACTTTGTCCATCAGTTTGGGAATGGCAAGCAGTTGAAACTAACAATTTAGTTCCAATTTTACCCCATAAGACTTTCTAAAAATAGCTAAGAAACTTCACATCACGATCGGACAGAATGCTCTGTGGAACACCATGAAGTCGTACTATCTCCTTGAAGAAGAAATCAGCAATGTTGGTTGCATCATCGGTTTTATAACAAGCAATGAATCCCTACCCAAGGCTCATTAGGTACGGGTAAAAGAGTGTATAAGCCATGAGGTAAGACTCTAG